CTGCTTCTCATCACATCTATGGCTCTGCCATTGAATCCTCTCATTCTATCCTAGCAGTTTTATTCCAAGAGCTTTAAAATAGCTCTCCCTGCTTCATATACCGTGTTTCCCAATAGCTAGAGTGATCCTGTTGTAGTGCTAGCCATATTATGTTAATACACTTCCCCGATCTCTCCAGTGACTCACCATGTCACTCAGGGTGAAGGCTGAAACCTTTACAATGACTATAGATCCCCATATGGCCCCCCCTCTAACCTGTCCTAATTCACCATTCTGGTTTTCAGATGTTAGTGGTTCTTGTCATTAGTCATTCCCTCCAAGGGTTAGTTGCTTTGAATTTTTTATCCTATGGTATCATAAAATGCCCAGAAATGGACATTTTTATTTGTCCTACTTCATATAAGCTGGGTCTCCTATCGCTGCATGATCTGTCTTCTCTCCCCTTTACCTTTCAGATCTCTTACTCACTACCTTCCTCTTATTCATTTCACCCAGCCAAACTAGCCTTGTTTTTGGATTCCTGTATTTAATGGTCTTAGAAAATGCTCAATGTTTATCTCTTCAATTACTTCCCTCTCATGTTCTCTGTTACTTCTTTCTAAGACTCAGCTAGACTTTTATGAGACATGCTCATTCTATGATCCATAATCTTTAGCTCTTACATATTTTGTATATCCTATGGTCTCTGTGCTTTATGCTGAGTATTTTCTTTAGATTTCCTAATCCGTGTCTAATCTGAATTGATTTACTTTTATTCTAGCAATTATATTTCTAAAATCTCTCCTTTGAGTTTCTGAGTGCTCTCGTTTAGTTCGCTCATTTCTATGAATCTATGTCCTCTTGTCATTCCCTACTTCCTTGTCATAATTATAATTCTAGTAAAACAAATATCTAAAATCTTTGCAGCTGTAGGTCAGATGATTTTTAAGATATTGATATGATATTTTGACATTATAAATTTTGTTATCCTTGACTATAAAACTATACTTGGTTGATAGTAACTTTTGAAGACACTAGGGGCTTGAAATGAAGATATTAAATATTTCCCTCAGTCAATATTGACACGTTTCTTTGACTAAAATTAATGGGGACATGACCACTCTGAGAACCTACTTCTCTCTTTCTAGTTTCCCAATTTTAACTTAGGAGATCTAGATTTAAGTCCTGTTTATCTGAATAACATCCTTGCCCTCAGGTGAGTCTGTTCCTTTCTCAATGATTAATTTTTTTGTTTCTTTCTAAATTTCAACCTTCCTTTTCCCTTATTTCCTTCCTCTACATTTCTCTTCCTTCCCTTTTGTCTCCTGGGCAGTTTCCTACACATCCAACTTAATCAACAATTCAATGTATAATGTATGTTTTGGAAATATATTTATTTTGTGGGAGTGGGGCCTACCAGAATATCTAGATCACCAAAGAGCAAGACACTAAAGCTAGTACCTTTTATTTGTTATATTTGTATTTTGAATTTTTCATTTTAGGGTTAAAATAAGGTTTTCTATGATTTTTCATCTGCTCCTTGGTTGGGATTAAATAGTTATATATATATATTTCCTGTAGTTCTTTCCTAGTCATTTGTATAAAAATTCTATTACATATGATATATATGTGGGTTATCCTAATCATCTACCTGTATTGTTCTCAATATTAAATGCTACTCCACTATACTTACTAAAAATATTACATTACTTACTGATTTGAAATGATACACTTATTTTGTACTAAATATTTACAAGTCCTTGAGATTATTTCTAGACATCTGTGAATCCTTACTAATCTTTCTATTATTCTAATTCATTTTGAAGGAGAACATTGTGCGCACTTTTCTACTTCCTCCTTTTCTACTTCAGGTTTCTGCATCAACCACTTCCAGCTGTAGGCAACTTTGTAGATTTCTAAATCTGATCTGAGCCTATCCTAATCTAACCACTAAATAATTAATACTGACCCCTTTCCTTCCGGAAATCCTCCGTAAACTCTCCTGTTACCATGAAATGTCCTTTCTACAAGATTTGACTTCAGTCCATTGTCCACAGTTTCAGAATCATATAAGATAAAAGAAAATTCCGACTACCAGCACATAAACAGTAACAGAAATACTGAAAATGAACTTCAAAAGCATAACTCAGGATCACAGATGTGCATGATTGACATGGCACTAAGAGATCATATTTTCAATAGTCTCCACAATGATTCTTACACTTATCCATAGTGTGTATCATTAATTCAGTTCAACCCTATCATTGAATAAGCAGTAAATTAAGATACAATATCACAAAATTTTTAAAATTCATGGAACCCTAAAGTATTCCAACCAAACCTCTTATATTCCATATATTTAATCTGAGTCTCTGAAAATGAAATGATTCTACTACAAAGTGGCAAAACCTAAACTGTATCTCATCTGCTTCAGTATAAATCCTAAGCAAATGAATGACTCTTTACAAAAGACCTTTCAAGTAGATATTATTTCATTTGAGAGATGAGGAAGCAGTTATTTTAACAAAAAAACAAAATTGAGTTTTAAATCAAGAGTGATTAATGCCAGGAATTCTGAGTTTACTTATTCTACTTTGCACCCAGGAATCTGCCTCATTCACTTTCTTCCTCCAAATCCTGAATACATGCAACTATCTAGGTACAAATAAGTACATTATTACATATTTACTTAAGAAAGGAGAAGTAATAACAATGCTGAGCAACTTCTCCAACACATATAAAACTTGAATTCATAGTTAATGTTAGGTACTTAATCTACCAGCACTTATTATACCTTTACTAAATGCCAGCTCCTGTAAGCACTAAGTGGTAAAGAGAGAAAAGATACAGGTGCCCTCCCTCACAGGGAAGACAAATAATCAGGCAAAGACAAAAGCATGTCTACTCTCATGTCTGTGCGTGAAGCCTGACCGCTCTACACTGGGGACATGGGAAAAGAGCACCTCATCTGCATGATGGATGGGACAGAAGTTTCCCTTCGGCTGGCATCTGAAGAGTTAATAGAAAATAAGGAGGACTGGAAATAAGAGTATACTAGAAAACGAAAAAGAAAATAACCAGGAAGGAAGCTTCATTGTTCAAGGAGTTACAGTGTGGTGGCCACCACCAGAGGGGCTGTCAGGAAGGGATCATGAGCACAGGTCACAGGTGAGATGGACAAACAGAATCTCAGAGACACTTTGACTTACCAAACTATACACAAACAATGGAAAAAGGTCTCCTTCACAGGAAATTCTCTCAGAGACATAAGAATGGAGGCTCTAAAATCCTAGAATCGCAGCACTACTTCTCATCACTACTGTTATCCCACAGAGATCTTTACTTGTTCACAGTTACAACCACAGAGGAGCCCTAAAGGATTCAAAGATCACTCTTCTTTATCGAAAGACATCAAAATGCCCATGGCTTCCTCTCCAACATTTTCTAAAAATAGAACCTTGTGCTGCTGTGGCAGTGATGGGAGCGAAGTAAACCCTGCCTCCTCTGTTGTGTGGGGCACTCAGACATTTAGAAACCTAACCCTTGGCTTGTTCTCAGGGTCCATTTGATAAAGTTCATAACCTTTAATAATGATATTGCCAGAGGTGATCACTGAACTACAGAGGATGCCTGTCAGCAGCTCTCAGTGTTTGCACATCCCAGAACAGCAGCTTCATTCATTATCTTATTCTGAGCTTCAGCATCTCCCTCTAAGGGGTGCATCAGAGGCTTTCCCCCTCCATAATTCAAATCCTTTAGGGAAGGCAGAGTGAAGAAGCTGATAACAGACAGAGATGTTTTACCCCGTGTCTTTGAAGGCTCAATATTTTACTCCCAATTTCACATCCAGAAAATTGCTTATTCCCCTTGGACAAACAGTATAGAGAGAATTTCTTTCCTTTTTGTTCTGGTACATCTATGACCTTTAGGTACATTTGCTTAATACATATCTAGTGGCTGTTAAAATATGAATGAAAATATAACATATAACTTCCCACACAAATATATGAATACATTTTAGCATTATGCAAAACATGATTATGTGATAAACAATTTTATCTTTTACAATCCATTACTTCCTATTTAATTCTGCTTAGCTTTCCTCTCCTTTCTTTGCTCCAACAATCACCCACAGTTAGTATATACCCTAAAGTATCCCATACATTCCTATTTGCTGATTATACCAAATGCACTTAAAGGAGCTTTACAATTGATTGAAACTACATTGTTTTCTAACTTTTGCATTTGTCCTTTAAGAATACTTCATTAAAATCTACCACCACCCTACACAGTGAATATACCAAAATGTATCCAACCCTGCCACACACAGAAATACAAACTTTTATTATTACCACCAAACATGCTAGAATAATCATGTTATATACCAAATACATTTACTTTTAACGTGTGTCTTTTTGTATAATATGATGTGGTTTTGACAAGTCTCTAAAAATCCACATTTTCCAATTCTGTAGGGGGTTGGGGCGTTCAAAATGATTTTAAAAAAAGGTCAGTAAATTTCATTTTTTAGCATTACTAAATGTATAAAGAACAAGGAAAAGAAATTGTGCAAATGAGAGGAAGGAGAGAAGACCAATCCTATAAAAACTGGATAAAAACTATAAGGAAAAACTTGTAGTTTCTTTCATAGTGGTAACAGCTATGGAAAAGAAATTTGCAAATAAAATTAGTGGAAGGACGTTCTCCCTAGTGTCACAGGGATTAAAGATAGCACTATTACGCTATCACCACCACTGCACCATGAATTCAGTCCCCTGGCAAGGAGCTAACCCACATGGTGCAGCAGACCTCTCCTGACTCAGCCGCTGGTCCCCTGAGCGGTGTATTTTATAGATCCACCTGTTCTGCTCCCCACTTTGTCTCTGGTGAATCCTCTCAGTTCCCACAACTCTGGCCTACACTGCAGTTCCTGTATACATAAATAAATATTTTTTAAAAAATTAGTGGAATTACATAACAGAGTCTCCTGTGCTGTGACTAACTGCGCACAGAGATACTATTTATGATGAAAACTTCATCCTACTTAGAATTCTTTTCATAGCCAGATTAACATCTTTATTCCTCAAGCTATAAATTAAGGGGTTCATCATAGGAACCACATTGGTATAAAAGACAGAGGAGATTTTTCCCTGCTCCATAGACCCAGCAGAAGAGGGCTTGAGATACATAAATGAAGCTGATCCAAAGAAGAGAGAAACTGCAATGATGTGGGAGCCGCAGGTGCTGAAGGCTTTGGACCTGCTTCCTGTGGAGCTGATGCGGAAAATGCTGAAGAGGATGAAACCATAAGACATGAAGATGGTGACAGTGGGCACAATGATGTTGATGCCTCCCACAATAAAAACGGCCAGCTCATTGATGTAGGTGCTTGTGCAGGAAAGCTGGAGCAGAGGAAGGATGTCACACAAGTAATGGTTGATGATGTAGGCATCACAGAAGGTCAGTCTCACCATGCATAGGGTGTGAGCCAAAGAACCAGAAAATGCCATGAAGTATGATCCAAGCATAAGACTGGAACACACCTTAGTGGACATGGCAACACTGTACATGAGTGGGTTACAGATGGCCACATATCGATCATAGGCCATTGATGTCAGCACATAGCACTCAGAAATACCAAGAAAACAGAAAAAGAAAAGCTGAGTCATGCATCCTGGGTAGGAGATAAAATTCCTCTTTGATATGAAGTTAATCAGCATTTTGGGTGTAAACACAGAAGAATAACATATGTCTATGATGGACAAGTTACAGAGGAAAAAGTACATGGGGGTGTGGAGGTGTGAATTCAGCACTATTAAAATGACTAAACCTAAATTCCCTAACATACAGACCATATACATTACTAGAAAGAGGAGGAAGAGTGGGAGCTGCAGGTCTGGTTGGTCTGTTAAACCCTTGAGAATGAATTCAGTCACGGAGGAGACATTTCCAGGAGTCATTTTTTCTAAACAATATGTGGACACAGAAGATTACATTAGAGAGCAACTCAGCTCCTCCTCAGTGCCTCATCCAACAACTGGCATTGCGGGCAGCCAGCCCACCTGAACCAATGGAACCAGGTTTGCCATTTTCATGAAACTGAGTGACCCTTGTGTGATCCCAGTCTACATAAGCCAAAACAGCAAAGAACATCAGATCTCAAAACTGCACAATAGGAGAAAGAAATAGACATGTCTGGGGCCCTTGCCATGTAACTCAAGGCAAACATTATAGCAATAGAAATGACATGAAGAAACTTACCCTCCCTATCCAGAAAACCTCACTGTTCACTTATCCTGAGGTTTACCCCTCTGGTCTTAGATGGGCGATTCTAGATTCTGAGGCTTTGATTTCTTTTAGTCTTTGAGAATGCTGTCCAGACTTCACTTCAGCTATAGCCTGGTAATGTTCTGAACTGCAGGTCATAATTTCTGATGATGATTAGCAGTCCTTGCAAGTAGCAGAGAAACAGGAAGTCTTTAATATAATCACATTTCTACTGAAGATCTTGGTTATAAACAGGGTAATTGTTTAGTCTTTTCCCTGTGGGTTGCAGTCTATGTGGAAAAGGGGAATATGGGTATTGTATGCAATGGTCTGTCTTTAACTTCCTAGGGACTCAATATATTACCCATTTCACTTTCTGCTGGGGATTATACATCCCTCAGTGTAGATGCAAAAGAAATCCCCATCTCCCTGTTATCTTCATCTCTTTGGAAAATATACTATATTTTTTATAACCCTCACCCTAAAAGAACATTTTTCAAGGTTTCAGTCTCCAGATTACTTATTTCTTTAGAAGGTATTTTTCAAAAATTGAAATAAATTTCTTCAGCTTTCTCTCCCCAGACTAGCTCTAAAATAAACTTACATAAGTTACGTAAGTGCAATGATTTAGAAAATGTAAACATCACCCCATGATAAATACCCAAAATAAAATTGTATTGAGTTGTGTTATTAGCTGTGAATGCGAATCAACTTTGGCAGAGATTGATTCCTACAGGACTCCAAGCATCTTGCCTCTGCCTTCCTGTCGTCTTCCAGTTCCTCTGAAAAACCATCTTGCTCCATTGCTCCTTGTTCTTCTGATGTTTTCATGCAGAAAATGAATCGCAGACACCTTAAGTTCTCCTGTCATCCACTCCTTTGTTCTGCATTACACTGTGCCCTCCATGCTTCTTTCTAAACTCTTCAGACTGAGAACCTACTGTGGATAATATTTTTAAGATTCTATCACATGCTCATTTACTTATTTTTACAATCAGATATAACATAGAAAGAAGGCACTGTAATGTTTTCTCATATCCATTGTTCATAATATAAGGGGAAAACAATAGGGTATAATCTTCTATTAGTATTTCAAATTTTTTCTCCTTCCCTGAGGTTTCTCATTCAATATAACCATTAGCAGATGTCAATCTGTCTCCTACTTATGGAGAAAGAGATGCAGGTAGTGAAAGTAGTAAAAAAAAAAAAAAATTCCCTCCAATCCAAAATAATCCACCTTCCTGGCTCTGATTTCTCTGCATCTGGGATGTTATTCAACTCTCCCCCTGGGACTGTAGACTCTGTTTCTCAGGCTATTGTCTCTCAATTCACAGATGTGCTCAATTTTAGTCACAAAAAAATTTATATAGCTGTACTTTTTTTTTGTCATATAAATCTCCCAGTGTTTTTACTTTTCCACTGGCAATATTTTGTTTTGGTATTGTGCTTAATTGAGATACAATTGACATTGGGCCTCCCCAGTGGCGCAGCGGTTGAGCGCTGGGTTGCGAGGCTGCCCGCTGCCTCTGCGGCGCCGGTTCGATTCCCGGCTGCTCCCCGGCCACCGGAGGAGGGTCCCACATGGCGTGCAGACCTCTCCTGCCGCCCGCTGCTCCCCTCAGCAGTGTACTTCGGTCCTTCTGCCTGCTCTGCTCCCCGCTCTGGCTCTGGTGAATTCTCTCACCCTCCCGCGCTTCTGACTGTACCCAGTGCATGTGTAAACAAAACAAACAAATAAATAAATAAATAAAAACATGCCTCTATAAAAAAAAAAAAAAAAAAAAAAAAAGAAATACAATTGACATTAATATTATATTAGTATCAGCTGTAGGACATAAGGACTCAAGATGTGTAGGTACCGTGGATTGATCACCACCATAATTCCAGGTAACATCCACCACCACACGTAGTTACAATTATTTTCTGTGATGAGAACTTTTTTTCATCATATTTAAAAATTTAATATTTTTTATTATGGTAAAATCCATATTGAATAAAATTCACCATTTTAAGCATTTTTAATTTGTTTTAATTATTATTTTATTTCACATAATTCTTACATCATTTTTCATTTTTGTACAATGTATGCATTTTCATCTCAGTTATAGTCCCTGTGAAATTCCCACCACCCATTCACCTGTGAACCATCGCTATGGTCCCTTGTGCTCTTCCCACCCCCATTCTGATCCTACTCCCTTCTCCCCACCTGTAGAATGTCTCTGGTTTATAGTTGCTGTTGATTTTGATTTTTACTTTATTATAGTTACTTTTTTATTTCCTGATCCCTTATTTGGATCCTCTACATTCTTCCTATAAATGACACCCTCTAATTTTTCTTTTTTTCTAGGAAAATACCAGATAGTCTCATTCATAGTAGGAATTTAGAAAACCTAAAGAAGGGCCCAGGAAAAAGACTCATTATAATAGAGAAAAAATCAAAATTAACAAGCAACTATAAACGAGAGACACACGGGGGGGGGGGTGCGGTGTAGAGGAGGCATTAGAATCAAAATAAGGGGGGTGGGAATTGCATGAGGAATATAACCAAAGTGAAAATGCATACATTGTGCAAAAATGAACAATGATGTAAGAATTATATAAAATAAAATAATAAAATAAATTTAAAAATAAAAAATTATTTTTCTTTTTCTTTCTGGCTTATTTCACTGAGGATGATCCCTTCCAGCTCCACCCATGTTGCTACAAATGGCATGAGTTTATCTTTTTTGATTGCTGAGTAATATTCCATTGTGTATGTGCACCAATTCTTCTTGATCCAGTCATCTATTTTGGGACTTTTGAGTTGTTTCCATAGCTTAGCTATTGTAAATAGTGCTGCGATAAACATAGGGATGCAGGTGTCCTTTTGAATTAATATTTTTGTGTCCTTGGGGTAGATATGTAGAATTGGTTCATACAGAAGCTCCATTTTTAGCAGTTTGAGGTACCTCCACACAGCTTTCCATAGTGGTTGCAAAAGTTTGCACTCCCACCAGCAGTGTAGCAAAGTTCCTTTTTTTCCACATCCTCCCCAACATTTGTTGTGCTAGTTCTTTTTTTCATATGTGCCATTCTCACTGGTGTAAGATGGAGAGAAAGCTTTGACAAAGCTTTGACAAAGCCCTAGATACGCCTTATTCTATCTCAAATAAAATCAATAGCAAATTTTACTATCTCAATCATATCTAACTGTTTCGCATCAACTCTAAGGCTGTCCCATTGCATCCTCTCATTATTCCTAGCTGTTTTATTGCAACAGCTTTAAAATAGCTCTCCCTGCTTCACATACCCATGTTACCCAACAGCCAGAGTGACCCTGCTATGGTGCTAGTCATATTATGTCAATACTCTTCCTCAACCCCTCCAGTGACTCACTTCACTCACTCAGGGTGAAGGCTGAAATCTTTACAATGACTATAGATCCCCATATGGTCCCTCCTCTAACCTGTCCTAATCACCATTCTGGTTTTCAGATGTTAGTGGTGCTTGTCCATTTGTCAGTCCTTCCAAGAGTTAGTTGCTTTGAAATTTTTATCCTACAGTATCATAAAATGCCCGGAAATGGACATTTTTATTTGTCCTACTTCCTATATCCCTGCATTATCTGCCCTCTCTCCCCTTTAACTTTCAGATCTCTTACACACTACCTTCTTCTCATTCACTTTACTTAGCCAAACCAGACTCGTCTGTGGATTCTTATATTTAATGTTCTCAGAAAATGCTCAATGTTTATCTCTTCAATTACTTCCTTCTCATGTTCTGTTACTTCCTTCTAGACTCAACTAGACATTTATGAGGCATGCTCTGATCCATAATCTTTAGCTCTTAGATATTTTTTTATCTCCTAGGGACTCTGTGCTGTATGCTGAGTAATTTCTTCAGATTTCCTAATATGTGTCTAATTTGAATTGATTTACTTTTATTCTAGCAATTACATTTCCAAAAGCTCTGAGTTTGAGTGGTCCCTTGTAGTTTGCTCATTTCTATGAATCTATTTGCTACTCTGTGTCATTCCATACTCCATTTTCATAATTATAATTCTAGTAAAAAAAATCTAATATCTTTGCAACTGTAGATCAGATGATTTTTGAGATATTGTTGTCAAATATTTTGCACTGTAAATTTTGTGTCCTTGATTATAAAACTATGCTTGGTTGATAATTAACCTCTGAAGAAACCAGGAGCTTGATATGAGGATGCTAAAGATTTCCCTCTGTCAATATTTACATGTTTCTTTGAGTAAAATTAAAGGGGACATGACCACTCTGAGAATCTATGTCTCTCTAGTTTCCCTGTGTTAATCTAGGAGACCAGATTTAAGGCTGGTTTAACTGAATGACATCAAGCCCTAGGTGAGTCTGCGTGTATCCTACAGATTGCAGGTCCTTTCTCAATGATTAATTTTTTGTATTTTTCTAAATTTCACCCTTCCTTTTTTCCTCCCTCTGTGTTTCTCATCCTTCCTTTTTGGTCATGGGCAATTTCCCACATATCTAGTTTAATCACCAACTCAGTGTATAATGTATGCTTTGGAAATATACTTATTTTGTAGGAGTGGGGTCCATCAGAATATCTAGATCACCAAATAGCAGGACATTATAGCTAATACCTTTTATTTACTATATTTGAATTTTGAAGTGTTCATTATAGGGTTAAAAGGAGATTTTTCTATGATCTATTACTCTGCTTTTAGGTTGGGATTAAACAGTTATATATGTTTCCTGTAGTTCTTTTCTAGTGATTTGCATAAAAATTCTTTTACACATGAGATTTAATTTGATATGTGGATTATTGTAATCATCTACCTGTATTTTTCTAAATAGTAAATACACTGCTCCATTACTACTATTAAAAATATTACATTGTTTACTCATTTGAAATGATACACTTATTTTGTTCTGAATATTTACAAGTCCTTGAGATTATTTCTAGAAATCTGTGATTCCTTACTGATTTCTATTATTCTAATTCATTATGAAAGAGAACATTGTGCATACTTTTCTACTTCCTCCTTTTCTTCAGGTAGCTGCTTCTACCACTTCCCTCTCTTGCCAACTTTGCAAATTACTAAACTTGATATGAGTCTTTCCTAACCTAACCACTAAATAATATCACTGAACCCTCTTTTCTTCCCCAAATCCTCCCTAAATTTTCAACTTACCATGAAACAGCCTTTCTATAAAACTTAAATTCAGCCCACCGTCCGCAGTTTAGGAATCATATGAGAAAAAGACAATTCCAGCTACCAGCACATAAACAGTAACATAAACACTGGAAACCAACTTCAAAAGCATAGCTCAGGATCACAGATATGCATGATTGGCATGGCACTAAGATCTTAATTAATTTCAATTGTCTCCACAATGATTCTTATACTTATCCATAGCGTGAAGCATTAATCCAGTTCAACCGTATCATTGAATAAGCCAGTAAATTAGGACACAAATATCACAAAATTTTAAAGTTCATGGTACCCTGGACTATTCCAACCAAGCCTCTTATATTCCATATTTTTAATCTGAGCCTCTGAAAATGAAATGATTCTACTACACAGTAGCAAAACCTAAACTACACCTTATTTGCTTCAGCATAAATCCTAAGCAAATGAATGACTCTTCACAAAAGACCTTTTAAATAGATACTATTATTTTTTTTCATCTGAGAGATGAGGAAATAGTTATCATGAGGGAGTAACTAATGCCTTTCAGACTCACATATTTAGCAAAAAAACAAAGTGGAAGATTTAATATAGGGAATTCTGAGTTTATTTATTCTACTTTGCACCCAGGAATCTACCTCACTCACACTTTCTTACTCTAAATCCTGAATACATACATCTATCTAGGCACAAAAATATACATCTTTGTTTTCCATCCGTATGACTTAAGGGGTGTGGAGGGAGGTCTATGAACATAAATTATTACATATGTCCTTAAGAAAGGAGGAGTGGTTACACTCTGAGTGACTCTTCCAACATATTTAAAGCTTGAAGTCATAGTTAATGTTCGGTACTTAATCTACCACTTCTTATGCCTTTGTAAGTGCCAGCTCCTATAAGCACTATGTGGTTAAAAAGAGAAAAGATACATGGTGCCCTTCCTCACAGGGAAGACAAATAATCAGGCAAAGACAAAAGCATGTCTGCCCTCATGTCTTTGTGTGAAACCTGACCTCTCTACACTGGGACATGAAAAAAGAGCACTTCAAGTTTTTGATGTGTGGGACAGAGGTTTCCCTTCATCTGGCATGTGAAGGATTAATGGAAAATAAGGAGGATGGAAATAAGAATTAGAATACACTAGAAAATGAAAAAGAAAATAACCAAGAAGGAAGCCTCATTGTTCAAGGAGCTACAGTGCGGTGGCCACCACCAGAGGGGTTGTGCAGGTAGGGATCTGAGCACAGGTCACGGGTGAGATGGGCAAACAGAATCTCAGAGACCATTTAGCAACCCCAACTATACAGAAAGGATAGAAGTAGGTCTCCTTCTTAGGAAACTCTCTAAAGGACAGCAGGATGGAGGCCTTGCAAACCCTACAATCTCAGCACTACTTCTCTCTACTGTTATCCCATAGAGACCTTTACTCAACCATAGTTATGACCACAGACTGGGGGACACAAAAAGGATTCCAAGATCACTCTTCTTTACCAAAAGTCATCTGAATACCCGTGGCTTCCTCTCCACCACTGTTCTCCAAATAGTACCTTGTGCTGCTTTGGCAGTGACAGGACTGAACTAAACCCTCTTGTGTGGGGTACTCAGACATTTAGAAGCCTTACTCTTGGCTTATTCTCAGAGTCCATTTCATAAAGTTCTTAAACTTTAATTATGATATTGCCGGAGGTGGTCACTGAGCTACAGAGGCCTGTCAGCAGCTCTCAGTGTTTGCACATCAGAACAGCAGCCTCAGCCATTATCTTATTCTGAGCTTCAGCATCTCCCTCTCAAGGGTGTATGAGAGGCTTTCCAGTGAGCCCCCTCCCCCCAATAATTCAAATCCTTTAGGAAAGGCAGAATGAAGAAGCTGATATTACAAATAGAGATGTTTCACCCTGTGTCTTTGGAGCTCAATAATCTACTCCAAATTTCACATCCAGGAAAAAAATTGTATATTCATTTTGGACAGTGTAGAAATAATTTCTTTCCTCTATCTCTTGGAACTTCTTTACCTGTAAGTTCACTTGTTAATAGATGATTAGTTGTTGAAATACAAATAAACAAAATATTTTCATATGCATATATATCTGCTTCACACATAAATATATCAATATATTTTAGCTTTATGTTATACATGACCATATGATAAACACTTTGTATCTTTTAGAGTCCATCACTTCCTATTCCTTTTTGCTGAGCATTTTCTTTCTTCTTTGCTCTGCACCAACCATCACTCACAATTAGTTTATACCCTAAAGCATCCCATACATTCCTACTTGCTGGTATTACCAAAGGCACTTAAAAGAGCTTTACAATTTATTGAAAGTACATTTATTTCTAACTTTTACATTTGTCCTTTAAGAATACTTCATTAAAGGCCTCCCCAATGGTGCAGCGGTTGAGTGCTAGGTTGCGAAGCTGCCTGCAGCCTCTGCAGCGCTGGTTCGATCCCCAGCCACCAGGCGAGGGTCCCACATGGCGCACAGACCTCTCCTGCCGCCAGCTGCTCCCCTCAGCAATGTACTTCATCAGTCTGCCTGTTCAGCTCTCTGCTCTGGCTCTGGTGAATTCTCTCACTCTCCCGTGCTTCTGACTGTACCCAGTGCTTGTATAAATAAATAAATAAATCTTAAAAATAAAATAAAATAAATTTTAAAAAAAGAATACTTCATTAAAAATCTACCACCATCTTGAGAATGCAAACTGGTCCAACCTCTATGGAAAGCTGTGTGACGGTTCCTCAAACTGCTAAAAATGGAGCTTCCACATGATCCAGCAATTCCACTCAAAGGTATCTACCCAAAGGACACAAAAACATTAATTCAAAAGGACACCTGCACCCCTATGTTTATTGCAGCACTATTTACAATAGGTGAGCTATGGAAACAACCCCAAATGCCCAAAAATAGATGACTGAATCAAGAAGAATTGGTATACATACATAACGGAATATTACTCAGCAATCAAAAAAGATAAACTCATGCCATTTGTAGCTACATGGATGGAGCTGGAAGGGATCATACTCAGTGAAATAAGCCAAAAAGAAAAAGAAAAATACCTGATGTTTTCACTTTTAGGAGGAATGTAGAGGAACCAAACAAGGGATCAGGAGGCAACTATAAACCAGAGACATTCTACAGGGGAGGAGGGATAGGATCAAAACAGGGATGGGAAGAGCACAAAGGACTATGGTGGTGGCACATAGGTGAATTGGTGGTGGGAATTTCACGGGGACTATAACTGAGATGAGAAAGCATACATTGTACAAAAATAAAGAATGATGTAAAAAATACATAAAATAAAAAAAGAGAAAAAAATTCTACCATCCGAAACTGTGATTATACCAAAACATATCCAACCAATCCACATACAGAAACTAAAACTTTTCATATTTTTATCACCAAACACATGCTAAAATAATCATTATTGATATAACAATACATTAACGTCCATGGGTTAAATTCCAAACATTTCTCTTTTCGCTTCACATGACATGTTTTTGACATTCCATAAATCACATTTTCTAATTCTGCAGGGTATGGAGCAGAGGAAGTAAAAATGATTTAAAAAGTTAATGAATTATGTTATTAGTAGTATCACTAAATGTAAAAAAAATAAGGAAAAGAAATTGTGTGAATGACAGGAAGCAGAGAAAACCTATCCTATAAAACTGGATAATAAACTGTAAGGAGGAACTTCAAGGTTCTTTCACAGTAACATAGCTGTGGAAAAGAAGTTTGCCAGTAAAAGCAGCTGAATTAAACCTCAGAGTCTCCCTGTGCTGTGACTAACTGCACAAAGATACTATTTATGATGCAAACTTCATCCTGAGAGTTCTTTTCGTAGCTACTTTA